CAATAGCGAAATGCGAAGTGATTCATTGGCAATGGAGGTGATTGTTCACCTAGGGTAGTAGCTTCAAATTTGAAAAGTGTAGAAAGTAATCCATCCGGACGTGCGGTAGAGAAACACTTACGGTTGTGCGATACCTTTTATCACCTCAAAATGTTGAATCCGCTTCACATCACAAATGTGTAACGAGTAATCAGGAAGAATAACCTATGGGACCCTAATGTGGCATTATCACTCTCAGGGTGGGTGTTGACCTGTGACCGTATTCCCTTCCTTCCACGGCGGTGCTTGCTGTTTCCATTCCCCAGAATTTGATCGGAGAATGCATCTGGTCGCTCTATTCCAGCCTTGATGAGCCTGAACAATTGTGTGACTTATTAATTCGTGCCTTTTGTTCCCACAACGAATTCAGTGGAGAAAGACTATCCTTTATTTGTACAGATTTTTAACTGAACAACGGTAATTTTAAATGACATTAATTGTTTGAAGTAAAAAGGCACACCGCTGGATAGTGACGGAGAAGAAAATGATGAAAGCTGTAAGGTGTCCGTTGTCTGAGGATGCACATCTGTTAGCGAGAAGATTTCGATGTCCCCAACGCCTATTCGCACTTTGTACGCGGTAAAACATAGGTAGAAATGAATCAAGAGTGATGTACACTCATTTTGTTTACAGGAATGGGCTATACACAGGTAAGTAGAAATTGTGTATGACGGAAACTCTAGTGTGATATTGCACAATTAGGCAAACAGTTCCTTTCAAGTAATACTGAAATACGACATGAGACATGCCACATCAGGAAACGTTGATGTATTTGAGAACATTGCATCCAGCCTACTTTCCTCCAGTTCCTCGGTCCTGTCGGTGAACTTAAAAACCATTCATCGATACTAGAATCTCCTCTAATTTGATTCAGTCCGGATTCCTGGAAAAAGTAAGCAAGTGTTCATATAAATTCGTGACCAGGGAACACTAGTTAGATCCGACATTTTTCGAAACAGTGAAAAATTGACGAAACAGTTATCTTGGCAGAGGGAGGGGTGTGCAACTAACAGCAACTTGTCATACTGCGTGCTTACCTTTTGTAACCCAAGATGGAAGTGAGAAACTGGAGTCACACAAGTCACACACAGGAGATATCTGTATGGCTGGGACATTTTGTGACCCCGTGAGTTCAACGATGCATGACAATGATTGGAAATGTCAAAATTTCAGATATATATGTGTAACACGACTAATCGAAGGGCACGCACACGTATTGAGATGTCTGTATCGCACTGTGGTGTGATAGATTCAGTCGCTTGCAATGAGCTATACACTATCAATCTATCTATCTATCTATCTATCTATCTATCTATCTATCTATCTATCTATCTATCTATCTATCTATCTA